GTAACACACCACTAGTAAACATGAATTGTCCGTCATCGAACGTGTGGAAAGACTGGAATGTGAACCCTGGGATGGCTCTGAAGAATAATGAATCAGTTTATTTTCCACACCTGATATTCATCCCTGGCCTAAATCTCAAGCGTCCCGATTTTGATCGCGTGTACCCTGATTTTTTTTGGTTTAATTTTTTGTTACGCCTGTTACGCCGAATTTTTCTAAAATCTTACTCTTGCCTTCTTTTCGGTCGTGGGAAGCACTCGTTAAACTTTTTGTCAGCAGAAACTCGGAGCAATACTTTCCGAAATGTCTATGTCGAATTTAGTAGTTTACTCACCAAAATTTCAACTATAATGGATTGGAAGTAGTATTGATTTGGCGTTCCGACTAAGATATTCTCAAGATCTGCTTTCGCCAAAACATGCTTTGTCCGAGTTTTGGTTAGTCGGGCCGTCAAGACCCGTCTGTAAAACCCGCGCGTTCGCACCTCGTGACATGACTTGAGCGTGTGAGTTCCGCGTGTGTCGGGTACCGTCGTTGACCAGGTCAAATTAAGTTCATGCACACTAGTTGAAGCGTCTTTCGGGACTTATCCGAAGGGAGGGGTGGGGGTGGTGTGAAACACTTGAACTAGGAGACCTTGACATGATACCTCAGGATAATAAAAAAAAAAAGAAAGATAACACACACACACACACACACACACACACACACACGTGCGCGCGCACACACACTCTACCCCACGGGAATATACATGGATATAATAATGGACACCCCTGGAATTTTTTAAAGTCAGCTTGGCAGTGACCTGGGTGATTTGTTGTTGATCCCGATTTTTTTCACCAAGTCCCTATTTTTTCCTCACTGAGATCCTGACTTTTACAGGGCTTGAATTAGGTGTTCAAGAGGGCTGGCAAAAATTGCCTAGGTGTGGCCTAAAAATCAGAGGGCATCGAGGCAATTTGCTAGGGCACCAAGGCAAAATTCACAGGGGATCATTTTGTTGATTAAAGTTGGTAATACTGGGTTATGCATCACAGCGTTTATAACAATACAATTTATTCTTACTCTCTACAAAGGTATAAAGTTATTGGAACATTATAAAATTTGTAAAATTATGAATGAAAAGTAAGTAGAATCTAAATCACAGTAAAATCACATCAAAACAATTACAAAAGCACTAAAAGTCAGTTTTAAATCAGACGATCACGATTGCATCTAACATAATAAATGCCTTTATGACTGCCCCTCATTGATTGGATTAAAATGCATAATGTGTATGACTTGATAATAGGGCACAATAGAAAACAGTGAATGATTTGACCAATTAGTTAAGACATTGATCATTAATGAGATTCAGAGTGGTTTTCAGGCGGTGTAGTGATAAAATGACAACAAATTTTGAACTTGCATGTAAGAAAATGAGGAGTGAAAACAACTTATGAATTTGTATGGAAAAAAAAGAATGAACTAAAAACTGTTGTTAAACAGTTACATGTATGAGGTTATGACTATGATAAGTGAAAACAAATTTTGAAAATATGTCTTAAAGTATGTTGTATAAAAAAGACCTAAACAATCAGCATGTCATATGACTTAATGACTGGATCAGATATTGAAAATATGTTTGGCACACACAATATAGAAAAAGACTGGCTTACAGAGGTTTGGTTATCATTGGTGTGAGTGTGTTTGCACTAGCCTTGACAAAATTGACACAATTGTCAAGCTGAGCAGTGTCTGACTGAAGTTTTGATGAGATTTCAGACAACTGACAGGATGTCTTCAACCCCCCCCCCCCCCCCTTTTTTCCTCACGTGTATCTTAAAAATAAAAAAAATCAATAATTTCCCCCCTATTTCGGAGTCCCATACTTCGCGGCGTTCAGACTTTGAATGAACTTTGGTGACCCCAACAACCGGTGCTCACACGATGCCGTATCTTGTGATGTAGGTTCAATGACCGGTCACGATGGCGAACCCGACAAGACGCTTGTACATTGTATAACTTTCTTTTCTTTTTCTTTTTCCACAATTGACAGCACAGGACAATAAATTATAATATTGATTTATTTTCATGGCGTCACATTAAAAAAAATTAAAAACAAGGGTACGGCAAAAATTGCCGCGGTTGACCCTGTGATTTTAAGGGCATTACGGCAAATTGCAAAGGCACCAAGGCAAATTGCCGCGGTCTATTTCAAGCCCTGCTTTTAGATTTCATAGAGTAGCAGGTCTATTTTTCTTGGTTGTTCACTAGAGACGGGCGGGAAGCGCTTTTTCCTTCCTGAGCGAGAAGACCGAGAAGCTGACCTACTTCACGCCGGGGCCGGTCCTGGTACCGAGAAATGCTTCCCGTTTCGTGTCCCGAGAAGCTGCTTCTCGTCTCGTGACCAATTTCTCTTCTCGCCCCGCAGTTCGAGCAGCTCGCTCAGCGAGAAGGCCGGCCGTGGCCGAGATTTCTCTTCTCGCCCCACAGTACGAGCAATTCATTTAGCGAGAAGGTCAGTTGTGGCAGGGATCTAAACTAGGCTAGCCCTGTTGCGCAGGCGGTGAAGGAAGGTAGGGAGATCTAGCCCTGATCAACTCTCCACTCGCTTCGTCTCGCCACCCTCTCCCCTCCCTTTCATTTTCACACACAGGACGGCTCGGTGATGGGTGGCACTGTCTGCGTTGTCATTTCTCATCTCTCACTCTCGTTACTGTTACTCGTTATGTCAAGCCAACGAGCAGTATCACTTCTCGGCCGGTACCGGGCAGTAGTTTAGTACCCGGGCAGCGACGGGAAGGGCATTTCTCGCGAGAGACGAGTACTCGGCTCGTCTCGTGCCCGCCCCTTGTTGAAGTTGACCCTTTTTGGTTTGTCAACTTTATTTTATTTTTGATAGACCCAACCGCTCAACTACCACCACTCTTCCCCCCCCCAAATGGACACAACTTTAATTCTAGTCAATATTATTCATTTATTTCTTAAGTTCATTAAGTCATGGTCACTCTATGTCTGTGAATGTGCGTGTGAGTTAAATGTTTGCAAGTGAAATATCTTACTATAAATTATAAAATTATGAGATATTTTTTTTTACCCTTTAAGTTTCTAAAACAAGGGTTTAAATACCCCTTAAAATAGCAAACCAAAGGGTGAAGGAACCTCTTAACTCTTTGACTACCATGAGCCGATCTATCGGCTCCATAATTATCGGCTCGCGCTTTTCTCTCCCTTTCCCTTCCACAATTTGACTCAACCTTTCCGTTTCATGTTTTTAACTGCTCTGCTTATCATACATCAGTCAAGGAGTGAAGGAATTTGGCGCCTTTTGTGTTTTATTCTGCTGTTTTTTGGCTTTTTTTCATGTTTTTTTGACCCACCCTGTGTTGCTCGAATTAGTTTACACGCATAGCAACGGCAAAATGGCTGATAACCCATCAGGTTCCCGCCCGTCACAACGTTTTTCTGCTTCAAAAGCCCAGGAAAAGTTTGATGGGGAACTGTCAGTACTTTCCGATAGTGATGTAGGCGGTGATGAAGTTAGACCTGAGTCGGAAAGCAGCGACAGCGATGAGAATGAAGACTCGCAAAGAGGGGCGTATGTGCTGCGTTTTTTTTCTCTTTTTTTCATTGTGAGTGATTTCACCAAAAGTGCGACAACTTTGTGTATACTTGACCATTGTGCATGAAACTTGGCCCAGTTAGAGACAATTGGATATACTTCAGTATGACCAAGTCATGAAGTGATTGGATTTAGCAGCTATACACTGTGAGAAATGTAAGTTGAAAATGTTTTGTTTATTTTTAAATTTTTTTTACCTTGTGTTCACTTACCTCTAATATTTGTTTGGATTTATGATTTTTTTCAATTTTTTTTTATTAGATTAAAAATATTCTACATTCAATTACCTTCATTTTGGTATATAACATGTCTGACTTCCAGATGGAATTGTGCCCATCAGACACAAAAGAAGAACAGGGGTACTTCTGAAATTCTAAGACTAAGAAATGCCTCGGTCACAGCGCGGAAAATGCCTTGGTAGCCAAAGAGTTAAGTTGGCTTGAAAAGGGGAGCCCTGGCCTAGATCTAGATCTAGATTCTAGTAGATCTAGTTATCTCTTTAAACATTTGAAAATTTTTCTAATTGAGGTGCCGGTATGGGGTTTACACGGAGTTCGTCTTTGCCTCAAAGTCAAAGGAGGTAGATCTCTAAATGTGCTTCAGTTTGAGTGTGACTGACACCCAGATAACACAATGCGTCAAGTCTCGGTAAGAGTAAGAGGTCTTCTTTATACAATCGGACTAAAAACATGGCCCCACACCGGCAGGAAAGGCTGACCTCTCAACGAAACGAAATTTTGAGTCGATGTTTTTTAAAGAGCCGAAGTTAATAAAATACTCTCTGGTTATGGTGGGCCTAATACCATAGAACTGGTAATACAAAAGTTCACTTCCGGAAATAGTCATTAGACGTGCCGGTAAGCCCAGAGGGGTCTGTGACCGTCACCCCCCACCTCGTCCTCATCTCATCCGGCGCTTGGTACAAATTGAAATTCGGCCTAAAATTGGACAACCAGTCAGGCAATAGTGTAATAACCTGGCATGTCGTCTGCCCCACTTTTCCGTTCACCATTGTTTTGTTCTCGAGTGTGACGCTTTCCAAGCCTTTTGACTTTGAGCAGTAGCCTATCAGAGACAGAGACCTGTGTGAGCAGAAATCATTCTTTTCGTCTCCTAAGGCAAAGGTAAGAAACACGTCTTGATCTAGATCTAGATCTAGTAGGCCTACGGGTTGCAGGTACAATGCATCATGGGAGACACGCTTTCATGTTATCGTACCAGCAGGATTTGTTTTGCATTTTTATTCAGTTGATTATGGATCTAGATTCTAGTTAACAAGCGGATCGATCTAGAATCTAGCTAGAGAATGACAACTGAACGCCATTGGCCGATATTTATAGTAACAGACATCTTGTTTGACATCATTGAGGGATGGAAGTGGTTATTCTCACCCCACTGTCTCGCTATTCTCAACCCGTCGTTTTACCTGAAATGACCCTAGACTAGGCCTAGAGGGATCAGGGCTGAGGTTAAATAGCCCTCTATATACATAAATCTAGATCTAGATATGAGCAAGTCTCAAAAGTTGGTCCCGAAAGTGTGACAAAAAATTGAATTTTGAAATCTAACTAAGAATCTAGATTAACTGAACCAAAAGCAATCTAATTTCATCAACAGTAAGCTAAAGTTTCATTATTGAATTTAAGATAAAAAGTCTGACCGTTTTTTTGTAACTTTCGATTTTCTGGAATACCTCAGTTATTGAATGAACATGATGATGACACAATAAAGTGTACTGTAATTTGCAAGTTTCAATAGGATTTGTCTAACTGCGGTTATTAGTACAATAGTGCGTACAACTCTAACTAGTTATTATTAGTACAATTGTACTAATAACCAGACAGAGTATTCGTACAATTGAATTTTGGAGGTTGTAAAAATAAGCCAAGATCACTAGATAAGTCATCCAGTTGGTTCTCCCCTGGGTTGAGCATCAATGTAATAACTTTAACCAGGCCAAAATTGGTAGGCCTAAAATCCTAAAAGGAAAAGTAGGCTAGTTCTATACTTCTATTAAAATATAAGTAGATCTATAATTATGACTATTGTGTTTCTTTGTTTTTACACAAAACCATGAGTGGAAATCTTTGAAGTCAAAACAAACAATTAAGGGAAAAAAATTGTTGGTCAGTCGAGGGGAGAAGAGAGAAGAAAAAAAACCCGTCCGGGGACCGGGATTCGAACCCACACTCATAATATAATACTTCTTCAAACGCAGACACGCTGTCATTTCGGCCATCAGAGCTATCAACAGAAGGGGTAGATTAAGCTTAAATATTTTTACAGCACGGTTTTAACGCAACACACATTTCTAGATCTATCTATCTAGTCTAGATCTAAATCTCTAGACTTTCCTTGGTTTCATAAAACAGAGGTTTAGTAGACTGATATAATCATGCTTAAAAGTCTGCTTTCCCCCCTTTCACAGTAAAATAATACAGGTATTCAATTTTTTTTCTTTCCATAATTGAAATCAGAGCTGGGTTGATTTAAATCAGTTGATTTTTTTATATTTTAATCAACTTGATTTTTTAAATAAAAATCAGTGATTTAAATCACTTTCTTTAAAATGTATTCTCTTTTTACATATTTAAACATTCAGAATTCCTTTCCTTGGTTTTATTAAACATATATATATATATATATATATATATATATATATATATATATATATATATATATATATATAAGGTTTAGTTGACTAATATAATCATGCTTAAAAGTCTGCTTTCCCCTCTCACTGTAAAGTAATACAGTATTCAATTTTCTTTTTTTTCATTATAATTGAAAACCAGGGTTGGGTTGATTTAAATCAGGTCGATTTAAATCAGTTGATTTTTTAATATTTAAATCCACTTGATTTTAAAAATAAAACTCAGTGATTTAAATCACTTTTAAAAAATGTATCGTTTTTACATCTTTAAACATTCCGAATTCCTTTCCTTGGTTTTATAAAACAGATATAAGGTTTAGTAGACTAATATAATCATGCTTAAAAGTCTGCTTTCCCCCCTGTCACTGTAAGTAGTAAAATAAGTATTCAATTTTCTTTTTTTTCATAAAATTGAATTTAGCTTTTTCTTTTTAGACAAACACAAGCGCGCGCACACACTCACAGTAATAAAATGCAAGTTTATCTATGCTTTTAGACTGACATTTTCTTCATTTTTTGTCTGTAGCCATAATTCACTGATATAGCAGATTAAGGCTTCCTTTGCAGTTGCTTAAATTAATCATTAGTTAAAATAAAGACAATGCATTTTGCACTAAAAGAACATACTTTTAGCCACCAAAAATCCCAAACTGTGTCGACATTAAAAAAAAAAAAAAAAAAAAAATCCGATTTAAATTTTAAAAAATCTGATTTAAATTTTAAAAAATCGATTTTTTAAATTTTTATTTAAAAAATCAAAAAAATCGCCAACCCTGCATTTGATTGTCTTATTCAGAGACATAATTTTGAGCAAACAAAAAAGATGCCATAGGTTAGTGAGCGCGCAAATATGCAATGCACATGACTTTTATGAAGTGATGACAAGAAAATGTCATGCGTCATGTCCATTTATCCCTTCATCCTCTGAGCACTTCGTAAAGCATACCCAGGCCCCAAAATATGTTTTACAAGTATACTTTACTGTTTGAATATAAATATGATTGGCATAAAAAGTCTGATAAAAAAAATAATTTATAGCAATAGAGATATATTCGATGTGGACATGATGATGACATTAAACTTTCTGTCATTGATCATGTCCATCCGTTTCACAAATAAATAGGTGAACACTGTTCTTGTCGCTGACAAACAAATTGCCTTTTATGTTCATGTTTAAAGTGTAATTTTTGCAATGAATGTTCAGTTGAAAAGGCAAAGACTTGTTCCTGTGCTCTATTTTTCTCTGTTTCTGTCTGTCTGTCTGTCTGTCAGTCTCTCTCTCTCTCTCTCTCTCTCTCTCTCTCTCTCTCTCTCTTTCTTGCCTTTTCTGAACTCTATCGGAGACCAACGTGCAGAGCATGCACAATTTGTCAGATAACATTTTAATTTGTTGCGTGTGTGGGTGGCGGAGTTTGTGTGGTGGTTTTTGTAGGGTTATTCCCTGCTTGTTTTTCTGTTTGTCGGTCTGTTAGTCTGTCTGTCCGTCCGTCTGTCCCTCTATCTGTGCTTATGTGTATACCTGTCTGTCTTAATCTCTCTCTCTTTCTCTCTCACGCTCTCTCTCTCCCTCTCCCTCCCTCTCTCTCTCACTCCCTCTCTCTCTCTCTCCCTCTCTCTCTCTCTCTCCTCTCTCTCTCTCTCTCTCTCTCCTTCTCTCTTTCTGTGGAGGGGTGTCTGTGTGTGTGTTTGAGACACGATCACTGTTGGGAGGGATTGAAAAAGAAAGAAAAAAAGTGAGAAGAAGGAGGGGAGGGGGGGGGTGCACTTCATACACAGAAAGAGGAATGAAGCCAATACGACTTGAAAGTGCACCGAAGTTGGCGGTTGGCGGTTGCTCTGGTGTGGGTTGTTCCTTCTTTCCCATCCAACATCTGTCATACCTATCTATCCTCTTTCTTTTTGTCTTTATTGCCCTCCTGTAACACCTTTAATCTTCGGCACTTATATGACCTATTGTGTTGCAAGTGCCGTAAAGCTCTTACTAAAGCTAAAACAAAAAACTGAATTGAAAGGTGGACAGCCGGACATAAAATGTATTAATAAGTAGACGCCCCCTTTCCTTTTTCCCTCCACAACCGCCCTTCCCCCCTCCCCCGTACGTACAATACATACAAACATCCTCTTACCCACCCCTTCGCACCCATATGTCTCAACCCCACCCCCAAAAACCCCAACAACATCACACCCCCACCCCTCACTCACACAGACCTCTCCCCAACCGTCACATCCCTCACTCACACCTCTCTCCACCCAACGCTTTTCATACTCACACCTCTCACTAACCATTGCATCCTCACACCCTCACTCACACCACTCCCTAACCATCACACCCTGGTTGGCGGGTGCTCTGGTGTGGATTGCTTCTTCTTTCCTATGAAACATCTATCACTATCGTCCTTATCTCCCCTTCTTCTTTTTTATGTTTGT